CGCACTCCTTGTAACTACCACTGCTTGTAGGAAACATTTGTCATATATATATATATATGTGTGTGTGTGTGTGTGTGCCTAGTGCACGATCAATCAATTATCGATGCACCAAATCATTCTCTGCATAGTATCTATCGTAAGTTGATCCTACCGCTTCCGCAAACCCTAGCCGCCGCCTCGGGCCGCCGCCGCCGCCGCAAACTACTGCCGCCGCCGCCGCCCCACGCCGCCGCCACCCCACGCCGCCGCCACCTTCCCTTCCCCACGTGCGCCTCCCCGCGCGCCCTCTCCTCCCCGCCGCGCCGCCCTCCCGCCGCGCCGCTTCCCCTCAGCCGCGTCGCCTGCTTCCCCACGCAGCCATGTCATCCAACGCCTCCACCTACTCCAACCATTTCGCCATCGACCCTGCTGAGATCCGCGACATCAACGTCCACGCACGCGTCCCCGTGGTCCTCGACGCCTCCAACTTCACGAACTTCGCGTGGAAGACGTACTTCTCGCTGCTCTTCCGGAAGAACAACCTCGTGGATCATATGGATGGCACCGTTGACTCCCGCGCCATAGTGGACGACGCTGAGTGGACCGCGATCGACGCCACGATCATCCGGTGGTTCTTCACCACCATCTCCAAGGACTTGTTCCACACGGTCGTGAGCGCCGGCGACGACGCCCGCGCCATGTGGGTCAAGCTGGACGGCCTCTTCACCGACAACAAGCTTCAGCGCCGCATTTTTTTGCAACAGGAATTTTTGACTGTCACCAGGATGACCAGTCCATTAATGACTACTGTCGCCGCCTGAAGACTTTGGTGGATGAGCTCTGCGACATTGGAGCCAAGGTGGATGACGACCTCCTCCTCAGCACACTCATCGCCGGTCTCAACGAGGACTTCACAATGCCGCCTCCAACCCCACCTTGATGCCGGAGCCCTCCTTCCTCAAGTTCGTGGCGTACTTGTGGTTGGAGGAGCGCCGGATGAAGGGGGTCAAGAAGCGTGTGCAGCATCACGCCCTCGCTGCCGGCACCTCATGTGGCGCCCCTCCATCGGCCGCCCCACCGCGCCGCGCCAGCAGCCGCCGCCCCCCGCGCCTCTGGGGTACTTTCCCCTCCCGCCCGTGCCTCCCGCCCCTCCCGCTGCCCCCAGCAATAGGGTGGCGGACGCCGCGGCAACCGCCGCGGGGGCGGACGCAAGCAGCAACAGGCGCCGGGGGAGGGAGGGGGGAGGGGGGCTCGTCAGCAGCAGCAGCAGGTGACTCCTCCATGGACGTACGTCACCAACCCGTGGACCGGCATCGTCCACGCATACCCGATGCCGGACCCTCGGGCTCCAGCTCCGGGCATCCTTGGGCCTCGCCCGACGGGCCACCAGGCTCTCTTCGCCGTGCAAAACACCGCTCCCTACAGCGGCTATGGTGCGCCCCCTGCGCCTGCGCCCGCCTACGGAGGGTTTTACCCTCCTCAGGTGCCACCGCCGTGGGACCCGACCCTGCTCGCTGCTATGCACTTCGCCCTATCACCGAGCTCCTACGGTGGCGGTGGTGACTGGTACATGGACCCGGGCGCCACCGCTCACATGAATGCTCATCCCGGTAACCTCGCATCTGCCACTCCCGTTCATACTCCCACCCGTATCACCGTTGGTAACGGTTCCTCCCTACCCATTACACATGTCGGTCATATGTCTTTTCCCTCTACTTCTACTCTTGTGAATATGTCTAATGTTCTTGTGTCTCCTGACTTAGTCACTAATCTTATTTCTGTCCGTCGCCTTGCTCGTGAGAATCCTATCAATGTTGAATTTGACAATATCGGTTTTTCTGTGAAGGACGCCCGTACACAGATGGTACTCCACCGATGTGACAACCAGGACGAGCTTTACCCAGCGCATCCCTCCGGCGCCACCACCACCCGTCGTCACGCGCCTTCGCCGCCAGTGTCGATCTTTGGCATGTCCGTCTCGGTCATCCCAACTCCACCGTTTTGCGTTAGATTCTTCAGAGTTTTTCTTTCTCATGTAATAAGGTCGGCGATCACACTTGTATAGTTTTTCTTTCTCAGAGTTTTTCTTTCGTCTTCCCTTTAGCGAGTCTACAAACATTTCCACCTTTCCGTTTCAATTATTGCATAGTGATGTTTGGACGTCCCCGGTTGCTAGCAACACGGGCTATTTATACTATTTGGTGATAATGGATGATTTTTCTCATTATGTGTGGACATTCCCTCTCCGTCGCAAGTCCGACGCTCTTGCCACACTCACAGCCTTTTATTCATATGTCACCACACAATTCGGTCGTCCTATTCTCGCCTTGCAAACTGACAACGGCAATGAGTTTGACAACGTCGCCGTCCGCAATTTACTTGCGTCCCACAACACCATCTTTCGTCTCACCTGCCCCTACACGTCCCAGCAGAATGGTCGCGCCGAGCGCGTCCTTCGCACTCTTAATGAATGTGTCCGCACGTTGCTCTTCCACTCCTATGTGCCTCCTCGGTTCTAGCCGGACGCGCTCGCGACTGCCAGCCTCCTTATTGACATTCGTCTCTGTCGTTCCCGCTGGAACTACACTCCTCACCAGCTCCTCTTCGGTGTGGCTCCATTTTATGATAGTTTTCGCATCTTTGGGTGTCTCTATTATCCTAGCACCGCGTCCACTGCTCCTCACAAACTCGCTCCCCGGTCGTTTCCGTGCATTTTCCTTGGTTATCCTCCCAACACCAAAGGTTACCGGTGCTATGATCCAGTGTCCCACCGCATTTTCACTTGGCGGCATGTGTACTTTGATGAGCCGCTGTTCCCGTTTCAGCAGGTACCGTCACCTTCGGCGTTTCCCGCGGCGCGGTTCGCCCCTACCTCCACCTCTGGCGGACCGCCCAACCGCGCACCGGACTCGGCCCTGCCCGCGATCCCCGCGCTAGCGTCCCTTGCTGCTGCGGCCCCCTCGGCCGCTCCCGCCGCGGTCCCCTCGGCCGCCGCGGCCCCCGCTGAGCCCCCCGCCGCGGCACCCGATGCGGCCCCCACAGCCCCCGTCGCTGCGGCCGCATCCCTCACCGGCGTGGTCACTCGGGTTCGGACTGGGACACTTTGTCCCAGCACGCGCTACCCGTCGGACGAGTACACGTGTGCTGCATCTACCTCAGCGCCGACTCCGCTCCCCACCTCCGCGCGCAGCCCTTCGGGATCCGAACTGGCTAGCTGCGATGCATGAGGAGTTTGACGCCCTGCAGCGCAACCATACGTGGCAGCTTGTTCCGCGGCCTCCCCGTGCCAATGTCATCACTGGCAAGTGGGTCTTCCGCCACAAGACTCGCCCCGACGGTTCTCTCAAGCGCTACAAGGCGTGTTGAGTGGTGCGTGGCTTTCGCCAGCGTGCCGGCGTGGACTTCACTGACACCTTCGCCCAGGTTATCAAACCGGGCACGATTCACGCTGTTCTCCAGGTTGCTGTTTCTCGTGCCTGGCCAGTCCACCAGCTCGATGTGTCTAATGCTTTCCTGCATGGCCATCTCGATGAGCAGGTGTTCTGTCAGCAGCCCACTGGTTTCGTCGACACCGACTATCCGGACCATGTGTGCTTGCTCTCCCGTTCTCTCTACGGGTTGAAGCAGGCACCTCGGGCCTGGTACCAGCGGATCACGGCCTTCCTTCAGCAGCAGGGGTTCCGGTTCACACGGTCCGATGCCTCTCTGTTTGTCTATCAGTAGGGCCCCGCCACCGCGTACCTTCTACTGTATGTCGACGACATCATCCTGACTTCATCATCGCCAGCGCTCCTTCAGCAGATCACAGCTTGCCTCGGCGCCGAGTTCGCCCTTAAGGACTTGGGGGCTCTCCACTACTTCCTCGGCATCGAGGTCGTGCGCCGGGCTACTGGCTTCTTTCTGCATCAGCAGAAGTACGCCTACGAGCTTCTGGAGCGAGCGGGCATGCTTAACTGCAAGCCTGCTCCCACGCCTGTCGACACGAAGGCTAAGGTGTCCGCCGTCGAGGGTTCTCCGGCGTCTGACGCTCCCTTCTACCGCTCCATCGTCGGTGCGCTTCAGTATATCACACTGGCGTGTCCAGACATTCAGTACGCTGTCCAGCAGGTGTGCCTTCACATGCATGCTCCTCGTGACACCCATTGGGCTCTCGTGAAACGTATACTTCGGTACATACGTGGCACCACAACCATGGGTCTCACCCTGACGGCATCACCTGACACCAGCCTTATCGCCTACTCCGACGCCGACAGGGCTGGGTGTCCCGACAGTCGATGCTCCACTTTCGGCTACTGCGTCTACCTCGGGCCCTCTCTGATTTCGTGGTCGTCTAAACGACAACCCACGGTCTCACGATCGAGCGCCGAGGCTGAGTATCGGGCCGTGGCCAACGCCGTCGCGGAGTGCTCTTGGCTACGACAGCTACTTCAGAAGTTGCTATGTGAGGTTACCAAGGCGACGCTCGTCTACTGTGATAACGTCTCCGCGGTGTACCTTGCTGCCAACGCTGTCCATCATCGACGGACGAAGCATATTGAGCTCGACATCCACTTCGTCAGGGAGCACGTCGCATTTGGTCGTGTTCGTGTTCTACATGTGCCCACCGATCAGCAGTTCGCCGATGTCATGACGAAGGGACTACCCACCTCGACCTTCAAGGGCTTTCGGTCCAGTCTCTGTGTCACCGGCGACGCTTCGACTGCGGGGAGTGTTGAACATGTGTACATGTATGTAGGTCTGGGTTTTGTATGCAATACCTGTAGTGTCTGTCTCCCTCTGTATGTACGTGTATCTTAGGAGACAAGATACCGGTCGCACCCCTTGTATCTATATATATGTGCCTAGTGCATGATCAATCAATTATCGATGCATCAAATCATTCTCTACAATAACCACCACACATCTTTACAAAAGATTAACAAGCAGGCTCTAGGATTCTTTGGTGCAATTTTTCAGTTTTTCACACATGCGCACAGATGCATGTATTTCATTTCATCCATCGATCGATGCAGCACGGTTATTCACGATCGAGCTATTTTTAAAGTTACACCACCACTCCACCGGTGATCGGAGTGGGGCAGTGCGGGCTGCCGTCGCCATGGATGGTCTCTAAGTTGCACTCGTCCGGGCCGACGAGGTCCATGGTGTACTTCCTCGTAAACCTTGGGCAACCGGGGTATCTCCTGGAGTAGGCCGCCCTCGAACGCACCCTCCGGAGTTTCTACCCCATCCACGAGGATGCGCAGCGCCTCGCACCGGCAGTATGCTGGGACGCGCGACAACTGGTCGCAACACCGCCTCTTCAACATCCCGGCGGAGACGTACACGGGGCTTACGCTGCATATTTTAATGGACAAAAGGTTGCGGCAGGCTTGTAGCGGGTTGTATGGAATGTCCGACCCTGGAACGCACTGAGTCCCGATGGTGGCCGAGGTTGCGGCGAGTACGGCGAGCAGGACGGCGGCCGAGGGGATGAGCTGAGACATGAATGCCATTCTGGATCCTTTCAAATGGATGGGATGTCTGTAGTTTGAGGTAGGCTAGTTAGATGTGTATTGCTTGTATATGTATGTGCTGCGGAAAAGGAAGAGCGCCAGCTGGCGTTGTAACTATGGATGTGCCTTTTGCTCTTGTTGGGAGTCACGCGGAAAGGAAATTTTGATGTCGTGTACGATGAAAGGCCCGCTGATTAATCTTTACCATAACAGTATTTGGAGCTTTATGGCAATAGAATTTGGAGGGGATGCAAGTTGGGGTTTGAGTGAAAGAATGGCCAGATTTGCTGCCACTGCGTTCCTAACTTTCCTGACATGGCATGAATTATCTTATCATACGTGGCCAATAGCTTTATCCCTGGTTTATATGGCATCATTTTCTTCTACATTTATTTCTCATGTGATCTAAGCACTGATACTTTTTTTTGCGAGTGAAAAAAGGTATCAGTGTTAAACTTCTTTTTTTCTTGGTTTGTGTGTGGACTCTGGAGATCATATGCTCATTAAACCAACCAAGTTCTATTTATTTATTTTGCTTCAGCAATCATGTGAGCTGATGAGAATATGACCTGGATCACCTAACGTATATAGGGAATCTAATATATAGAGACCATCTTCATGGTACGAATCCAAAAATAGTCCATCATATATTAGAGAACTCACGAATGATGATGTCCTCATACTCATATGCCATGTTTGTTCGATGACATTTCCCTCACTAGTTAGTGCTAAAGTGTGTTCTTATTAGATATCTTGATGGCTTTGCATCCGCATCCGTCGAAATATAAATATATATGGGGAGCTCTGTCAACACTAAGGCCATGTTCGGAACTCATGATAGGAAAAACATATGAATAGAGAAGTGTAGGAATTGCAAGTCATGTCTTGTAGGTTCCTACATGATTCTAAAACGTAGGAATTGTACAACGTAGTTGTTTGGATGCGCCACATGAATTTTGCAGGAATTATTTCTTTAGGATAGAAAGAAGATGAGAGACAAAGACACATGCTGCATTGGACTTCTCAAGAAGTGAAAACATGAGGTTTGAGCAAATGTTCAGAATCCTCCAAAATGTGAAGGGAAGGAAGGATACCTATGGAATTCCAAAGCCAATCCTACAATCCGAAGGGCACATAGGAAAAAATTCCTATAGGATTCCGTTCCTACGAAATTCCTACACAATTCCTTTGTTGCAACGGGGCCCAATTTGTTCATGCTGCATTCAGTAGCAAAAAAGAATAATCACAAATTGAGGGGGGTAAACTCTATATCTAATAAATAATGCATGCACAAATCCTTTTATAGAAGTATTCAAGTACAAACCGTGTTATCAACATCCAATAAAAAGTGAGAGACTAAAAGGACATGTTATGAGCAGGAAGCCCCCGCGTTGCCTCCCGCTAGGGCGACTTGGGCGGCACCCAAAACCTAGCCGCCGCCAGCCCGCACTCCCTCCCCCCTCCCTCCGCCACCGTTGGGGGACGCCACCGGTCTAAGCCCGGGGCCGACGGTGGTGGTGGAGGACATCAACTCTCTCTCGCGTCTCTGGGGTTGTGCGGAGTCCCGATTCATATGGAGATGCGCCCGATCCGATCTGCGGAGCGGCAGCGTCGGAGTCAGCGCGGCAGCAAGCCCTGTTCGGGCAGCGGTGGCGCGCGCCATCTGCCTTTGGACCGACGGCGGCGGCT